AATAATTAATTTCTATCACTGCTGTGAACTGACCACACAGAATATGAAGAATATCAAAAAATTCAGGAGTCAGCACAATTAGAGATAAGATATCAGCACAATAACACATTCAGCAAAATATTGTCTAATTACCATTATCGATAAAATCCCAGAAACTTATAGAGATATAATTTTTTGTCAATATCGCACACCCCTAATTTATGTTATATAATTGATATAATAATTTATTGATAATAATTGTTTAAATTAATATAATAACTAATACTTTTGACTCATCTGTTTTATTTAAAATGGTTTAAATGCTGAAATGTAAATTTGATCATTTTATGAAACGAATATCAAAAAATTCAGGAGTCAGCACAATTAGAGATAAGATATCAGCACAATAACACATTCAGCAAAATATTGTCTAATTACCATTATCGATAAAATCCCAGAAACTTATAGAGATATAATTTTTTGTCAATATCGCACACCCCTAATTTATGTTATATAATTGATATAATAATTTATTGATAATTGTTTAAATTAATATAATAATTAATACTTTTGACTCATCTGTTTTCTTAAAAATGGGTTAAAGGCTGAAATGTAAAGTTTATCATTTTATAAAACTTTGTTTTTGTGAAAACTTGTATCTGAACTGTAAATTACGCTTTTTACAGTAATTTTATAGTTTAATATGGTACTATAGACATTGCCCTACCCCGCTCATATGGTATTAATTTTATTTGTGCAGGTCTTAAGGTCTCAAAAAGATCTTAAATTTGAGAAAATCCTACAGAAACCCTGATTTTTCGCAAAATTAACAATGCAGCGAGTGTTAAATACAGTCATTTCACCTGGCTTTTGGGAGCGCACGAGATCTCGCGATATTACTCCTTTAGGTGAAAAGTGGTATTTGTTATAATACATAATGTACTTAAGTTGGTTGTTCATTTTATGTAGGCATATTACTTTATGTATTTTAAGTGTTGTTCAATAAAACCATGTGATTACTTGACTTTGCTACTTTATTCGAACAAATTATTATTGTCTCATTGTTAGTTTAATATACTGTATATAAATGTAGTCATACTAAGGGCTGTTTTTCAATTAGGTCTTTTTTTATTACTGAAAAATATCAGATTACTCAATTGTCAAACTAATCAATAGATTACTTGACTACCAAAATAATTGTTAGTTAGGGCTCTAGATTAGTTAAAATATTTCAAAATACAACTACATTGTTTTTGGGAGTTCAGCGTTTTGTTTTTTTGTGATTAAAAGACAAATATTTTGTCATTAAAAATTTCTTAAAAATGGTTTTAAAATATCGTCTCGTTCTAGTGAACCAAGTATCTGTATTTTGTCTCATCTCGTGAGCTAAGTGTATTGTCACACCCCTAGTGTCCATGAACATGATATAGCTCATAATTTTCCAAGTGTATGATGAAGCTTTTATTCTTCAGGTTAATCATGTATTCATGAAAAAAAAATCACTTTGAATAAGGAAATTGATAACTTTGCCATAGTATCCTTTCAAATGTTAAAGTTGCCACAGTCATTGCACATTTATTTGTTCCATTTTGTTTTATTCGTTTATTTATTAGTATTTGAAAGATAATGATATTGTGATCTCTGATTTTAAAAATGTGTGATTATGTCTGATTAAAAAAAGTAGTGCTTGAAAAGTCCTCAAGTCCTGGAATTTAAATTTGCAGTTTCTGTGCGAACCCTGTTTAAATGGGATTGTGTATATATCAGCCGTTTTAAAAAGACCACTAGTTAATTGGTAGTTGGTTGCTGGCCAAAGTCAAAGGAGCCCACTGCTACAGTATATTATGTGTGTAGTGTTTTGATCATTTTGATGTGAAAGGCATTGTTTATTAAGTTTTTTTTTTCCCCTTTTTCCCACCACCAGACTAAAAAGAAAGAACAAAAAAGACATAACTGTATTTTAAAGATAAAATACAGTTGGTCTATCATGTCTGTATCACAAACACTGCCTAACAAGTTACAGGCCAAAGTTTCATATTAATCACAAACCCAAAGTATAAGCAAAAGTAATAATGATGATTTCCTTTGCAAGTGATACTAGTTATCAAAGTCAACTGTGTATTGGTTTGTGTTTTTACTCAAACATTCAGAAGTGAAGCATTTTATTGTTTGAACATCAAAGGCTTTCAGTCTGTTGTGTAGTGCTCTCATGAGGACAACAAAGACTATTCTACACATTCTTGCATCAGTTTCTAATAAAAACTAAAGTGTTTTTTTTTTAAGGGATGTTTATGCAAAAAGTAATCCCTTTTATTCTTTCGTTATTTCATTTTATATGTATCTCCGTTCCTGTTTCCTGTATCCTTATCATCTTTACAGATGTGACCAGTATGTAACTCAGTTAGATGAGATGCAGAGACAGCTCGCCGCTGCTGAGGATGAGAAAAAGACGCTCAACTCTCTCCTCCGCATGGCCATTCAGCAGAAGCTGGCACTGACCCAGCAGCTGGAGGACCTGGAGGCCCCTCTGTCCCCTCTCAGTAACGGTGGCAGCCCGCACCACTCCCGGACCAAGCATCTGTCCAAATCAGGCCGAGCCCCGCGGAGCCCCATGAGAAGCAGTCCACACTCCAGTCCGCTGCTAGTGCCTGCCGGCCCGCAGAACACGAGCAGCCACATGAGGGCGCTCTCACGCAGCCTTCACTGCAGCCCCGTAAGAGTGCCCTCCTCTTCCTCATGCTCGTCTTTTTCTGCCTCAAATGAACCCGAGTCCTCTACGTCCACGCGGAGTCTAGCATCTGTCGGTCTTGTGCGCGACACTACTTTCGTTCGTAGTTACGGGTCACGTTCGTCTCGCTCGTTAGATGACTCTAGTGGAGGGTTGGGACCGTTTGCTATCCAGTCACAACAGCCCAAAGTTAACGAATCACAGGGAAATAGCCTGAAAGTGTCAGCGCCGCTGCGCAGTAACACGTTTATTAAAACACGTCACGCATCTGCACCAGTGAGCAAAGGCAGTTCACGTTCTGTCGAAACCCTTGATACACAATTAGGTAGAACTGATGGATCAGAGAAAAGACGTAAAGTTACAATGCAGGAGAATGATTTAAAACCTTCCAAAAAGTCTAATGCAGAACGTGCGTTTCTCAAAAAGCAGTCTAACATCTCTAAATCTCAATCTGATGAGGGAACTTCTTTTAGTCGTTTTGCATGTTCAAATACAGTGTCTACGACGCAATCTAAATTTTTCCCTAGGGCAACATCGAGTGTAACATCTTCTAGCGATCAGTCCACTCCACACAGTCCATCAGATAAACACCAGAAATCGTCCTGTAGGACAAAAGCATCCTCTAGGTTAGTGAGCCATTCAGACTCGTGTCAGGATTTTGTTGAGGAAATTGTCTAATCCTAGTCGTGAGATTAAGGGGAAACAAGGTCAACTCCGAAAACAGCAAAGAAGTGTTGATGCAGCGAAAAGGTCAACACACACTTACACACGCCAGACAAAGTTCAGAGCCACATAACTGCTCAGTTGTTGACCATCACATAAGTAAAACAATTTTACCACCAACTCTGATAAAGCTATTTAAAAAAAAATACATTGTGAGGTTCAGAATTAGATGTTTCTGCTCACTTGGTTGAGCATTTCATCGAAGTGCTATAAAAACACATTCTTTCTCATGTGTTTAGTCTGTCACAGATTCTTTGCGTCAGTTTTTTTTATCATGTTACCATTTGCTGGTTTTAACATACACAGTTCAACGTCAACATCAAAAGTTTAGGTTCGGGAAGATTAAAAAAAAAAAATGTTAAGAAGTCTTACCAAGCTATACTTCTTTGATCAAAAAATACAGCAAAGACAGTAATATGAAATATTTTTACAATTTGAAAACAGTTTTGTTCTTTTTTTAATGTTAAAATGTAATATATTACTTTGATGGCAGCGCTGAATTTTCAGCATCATTACTCCAGTCTTCAGTGTCACATGATCACATGATATTCTGATTTGATTGGCTAATAGATTGGATATAAAAATGGTCAGTGTTTCATTTATGGCTGATAAATGATGATTGTCAAAACTAAGATTTTGTCTTAAAAAGATAAGTAATAAAACATTAAAACTAAAAATCAGTCTGCATGTTGCACCACACCATTATGATGTGAAGCAGGAAAATGGATATTCATTTTGAGATTTGGTAAAAATGACTTTTTACTATTAAATTACTAGTGTTATTAAAGATTTTTCTTTAAATGAGTGTTCGATGGCCAAGGTAAGAATTGTGGAAATGGTCAAAATGAAATATGCAATATCAACCAATATGGTTCAACTAAAAAAAATCTTCAATATCACTGATAAATGATCTGGTACTTTTACATAATGCAAAAAAAAACAATTGAAGAAACATGCTGGTGGAAATTTACTTGAAATGGATGTTTATGATGCAAGATCGGTCTTTTTGTAATCTTTTATGTGTAATTGAGCTCGTATCGAACCCATGACGTTCTTTTAAGCTTTCCTCCATACTATTTCTCTGTCATAGTTTAAATCAGTCTGTTGTCATTGTATCTTATTTGATTTTCTCCCATATCTAATATCAGCTCAGCATTTGGCATTTGTATGAATGAACACATTTGACTTACTGTCTCACTGTCTTTGCAGAGATGAAATCCTCCTTGTGTCTCCCTCTGTGCTCCAGTACACATGGACCATGTTCATGCCCAGTTCATGAACACCCTTACCCTGCAGACCTGTCCTCACCTCATTGGATCTCTCTCTCGTCATGTCTCTCGTGCCTCTCCTTCCACCTTGTCTCTCGCCTGTTTTTTCATATGGTTGTCTTCCGTTTGTCTGGATCAAGTCGTTCAGCTTCAAGATATTGAAAGCTGAACACAGTCATTTCATGCCATCAGATTTTTCCTTATTCATGAACACGTGTACCAAACCAAAAACACTTGGAGATCAGTATTGTTTAGTCTAACTGGCTGTGACTGACCTTTTCTTATACAAGCCATAGATAAATACACCTTGTTTTGGTTTTAGCCTTTAAAAACTGATTTTTTTTAGCTATCATGGAGGACGTTCCTCTGGTATAACTGACCAGTTGTGCAGTTCTACTATTGGTTGTTGACGTATAACTTGCCCTGGCCTTTAAAGACCGCTACAGTGAAGTACAAAACAAACTAACACATACAACCAGTAAACAGAACAATCAACTATGCATAGGTACAAAGACTTTTGCTGCTAATTAGCTCATGCAAAATAAATAAATAAATACAATTACCAAACTGCCAGTTTATTCTGCCTACAACACAGTTAACCAACAGCACTGTTAGACAAATGTGCTTCATTTTTAAATAGGACAGTGGTAAACTTGTAATGGTTGTGTTCATGTCAAAGGGAACACGTTGACTGGGGAAAAAGTGTAATGGGATTTAAAATAGTGCCTTAATACTTTGATGTTTTGTGTGAAAATTTGTAGATAATAGCTTTAATATTTTGTTTATTGAATTGATGTTAAGGGTTTAAGTTGTTTTAAGACTAATTATGGACTTTTGTTTATGCACGTATGTACAGATAATGTTACATTCCCGGCAATAGGCTTGTTTTGTTAAAAATATAATTTCACTGTTCTTGTCAGAACCGTGTGTGTATTTGTAAGATGTTGTGTTGACCTGCCCGTCAACACTTTCATCTCCGTCTTTCATGATATTTCCATATAGAAAAAAGCTTCCTATTGTATTTTTTTTTATGGTTCTGTTAATTTTTTTAACCTGATTTTCTTTTATATTCTATTGTTCAGCCCTACAGAATGGTAATTTCCATGCAATATCAGATCTTGTTTGTGAATATGTAGTAAAAAAATTAATAAAGATTTCAATGTTTGTCGTATTATGTTTGCCTTATTGAGGATGACTTAAAATGTCAAGCAGTTATATTTTGTTTTGATTTTAAAATTGTAGCAATTTTGTTAGTTTTTACGTTTTAGTGGTATCGTTATTTTAGTAACTAAATGAAAACGAGAAATGTTGCCTTTGGAACTAGCTGATATAAAGTTTTTTTTTTATATTTCATTTCAGTTGATGTTTATTTTATTTCATATAAGTCATGAAAATGTATAGTTTAAGTTAATAATAACCCTGCAGCAAGTTGATGGTAAAAAGGTGATTGAATGTTGACACGAATGTTGATTGAATGTTGTTGTTTTTTTAAATATGAACCTAAATTATCCCATTTTCTACCATTGTCAACTACCCATACTGTATGTTTATGTGCTTCTATCTAATCTAGCATTTAAAAGTAATGCAGTTGTATTTGTAGAGGTTTTCAATTTTTAGATTGAACACATTCAACTAGATTTTGAGAGCTACTGTTACTCTTGTTAGTTTTGACATATTGGTCAGTCGCCCTGTTTAATTTCAGTGCTCTCCATTCATCACACATCAAGTGCTCCACTTCCCTCAGAGTTCCCAGAGTCATATTTCAGGTCTGAAGGTTTTGTGCCCTCTAGTTTGGCGTTTTCCCATCTTTAGTCAGAGGGGTCAATTTTTGTCATCACATCCTGAAGTAAAAAGATCCCTGAGCTCAGGGTGACGACTCTCTTGTTACACAGCTAACAAGAGCCAGCGCTTCTGTGACTGTTCTCCCTCAATGCAAATGTAACGAACGGGTCTGAAGAAATGTATTAATGTAATAATGTATTAATTTTCTCATTAAATAGTGAAGTCTACAAACATACTACAAATAGTATTAGTACTTTAATACACCCTTTGATATTCAGTCATGTTAAACGCTCCATTTGCAGCCATGATTTTTTGTGACCCTGGACCACAAAACCAGTCATAAGGGTCAATTTTTCGAAAATGAGATTTATACATCATCTGAAAGCTGAATAAATGAGCTTTCCATTGATGTATGGTTTGTTAGGACAATATTTGGCCGAGATTAAACTATTTGTAATCTGGAATCTGAGGGTGCAAAAAAATCTAAATATTGAGAAAATCTCCTTTAAAGTTGTCCAAATTAAGTTCTTAGCAATGCATATTACGGATCAAAAATTAAGTTTTTATATATTTACGGTAGGAAATGTACAAAATATCTTCATGGAACATGATCTTTACTTAATATCCTAATGATTTTTGGCATAAAATAAAATCGATAATTTTGACCCATACAATGTTTTTTTTTGCTAAAAATACACCCAAGCGACTTAAAGGTGGGGTAAGCGATTTCTGGTAGCCAATGTTGACATTTGAAATCACCAAAACAAACACGCCCCTACCCCAAAAGGGTCTCTCCCCTATTTTGATAGCTCCGCCCCACACATACATACGCAACCCAGGCAACGATTAGTTCTGTGAAACAAAGCAAAACCAATGTTACACCGTGTCTACACCCGACGCGAGTGGCGCGGCGCAACAAAATACTGAGTCATTCTATAATTAGGGGTACATGTCATGCCCATGGACTCTATTATCAATTTTACTAATTTTTCAATAACCTTTCACTTCAAACAATGATCACTTTTATATCAGGGGACATTTCTAATTCATTTAATACAAAAATACAACAGATATCCATCTTTTATCTCGCAAAAATGGCATATTTTGTACTGGAATTTACTTTTTTTGTGCTGTCCGATTTGGTTAATGTGAGGTTTTGCTCTTCAGATTAGCGCAGATTAGTTTCTGTATATATTTCTTATAAATATTTGTCCAAAATAATCATTAAATTATGAGAAAGGTGTTTTAAAAAATATTTTGCTCATGCATCTACATTAAATCATCCATTTTGTGTATGTATGCAGTGTCAACTGTGTTACTCCATATAAAACCCCCTATAAATCAGCAATGGTTTGTTCCAAAGTCACATGTCCAACATCATGTGATGTATTTTCTTTTTTTGGAGGGAAATTTGAAGACAGTGTGGAAAGTCATAACTTCTCCTCTTCAATATTTTATCTAGATTATTGTCTGCACATAGAGTAGATTAATTGACCGTCAACGGTGTTATCAACATGTTCTGGTGAACTTGCGTCACATGTTATATTTATAAATATGTAGAGACTGAATATAAAAACAAAAGTTAATCAAGGTCATGTACTAACTATTCCAAGGTCAGCAGTTTGCACAAGGCCCTAAAATGGCTGAAATGTCAACTGTGTTACCCATCAACTGTAACACACAATGTTGTGTTGACAATGTTGGCAATTCAGTGTCAATTTATGATCCCACTGAGTGTTGTTGATAAAAATAAATATTCACAAACTATTGTCATTACACAGAAATTACATAGGAATTGCCTAAAACCATGGAAAACTGGAACAATGGATAAACTTAACTGATCTAATCACGGCCATACTTTCTATGAACTCCGTATCCATAATATTATATACACATTATATTCACATTTGTCAAGGGTTAAAAAGCATTCAGAAATCCATAGGAATTGCCTAAAACCATGGAACCATGGAACAATGGATAAACTTAACTGATCTAATCACGGCCATACTTTCTATGAACTCCGTATCCATAATATTATATACACATTATATTCACATTTGTCAAGGGTTAAAAAGCATTCAGAATTCCTCATGATTGACATAAACCTATATAATATTATAGATTTGGCATATATCTATTTCTGCTTAGTCATGACTGATAAAGTGTTATGATGTTATTGTATAAGTCCTTACAACTTGAAGTGTCATGATGCATTATAAAACTTCATTTACCTTTATAATAATATAATATATATTTATTAACGTTATATATTATTATTATAATGTGTGTGTGTGTGTGTGTGTGTGTGTGTGTGTGTGTGTGTGTGTGTTATCCAAACAACACACACAATGATCCACAAAATTGTGCATCTTTCGTGATTGGCTTCTAAATCTTTATAGTACTTATTAACAAATTCAGTTTTTAAAATGGATCATTGTGGACTGTAGGTCAATGATTGGCTTATGTGTGTGTGTGTGTGTGTGTTTAAAATGCTTTATGGATACTAAGTTAATTCTTACCTGTCAACTGTGTTATGTGTGGTTTTTATGTTATAAATCTTTTAAATGTGAACTAGTCCGTCCGAAAAAAAGATGGGGATATCTCTGGAGATGGATGACTTTGGTAAGGATGGTGAATAACACTAAATTCAGCATACTGTGGATTTATGTTAAAGAAAAGTAATTTAAAATTGAAAATATTTTTATTCTTTTAAAGCTAATAGCAGTTACTCTTGCTGGACCTGTTTTGTCCCACGTCTCAAGAATGACTGATTGGCTACAAGTTTGTTTTGCTAGTCGGCCCGAATCAGTTTTCTAAAGCGTTTTTGAAAAATCGCTTACTCCACCTTTAAGACTGGTTTTGTGGTCCAGGGTCACATTTTATTCTATAATCGGAAAGCGTCCGATAACGCGTTTTTGGCTGGTCATGTGATCTAAACCTGCCTCCATGAGGCGACCCACTCCATTCAAAATAAAACCGCTTTTATTAGGCTACTGATATAACTGGAGTCCTCATCTCATGAGTGTACACGACTTAAAATGTAGTTTTTAAAAATAGCCAACTATTCACATTATTTCTGTGCAACGTGTTTGTGATGAAGAAATTGTGCGTGCGTCTTTTTGCGCACTCGGTGACAGATTGTGAGTTATTTGGATTTGTCGTTCACTCACTGCCCCCAAGCGGCGTTCAAGTGAAGTGCGCCTCACATTGACGGACAGCGAGATAAAGTGGCAGCTTTCTCAGGTGTCCCCTGTGTTGTTGTGTGGTAAATAGATAGCTTGTACTGGCACTCACTGCTGCTCAGATGGGACCTCGCTCATGGAGCGTTGACGCACTTTCGGTGAGTTCAGAGCTGCGCTTTCGATATTTTTAATACAGCTTATCCGCTATAGTCAATTTGAAGCCACAGTGTTTGTTTCAACATAAGTGTGATTTCCACAATAGTGTCATTACATCTGGATGATGAGGTTTACAACATGCCTAGACTGGAATCAGTATCTGAGTGAATTATTCATTGCATTTGCGTGTTTCAGTTGTTCTGATGCTTTTCTGCTTTTATGTCAAAACTGAGATTATGATTATTTTAATGCTTTTAAATATAATGCTGTTGTGTGTCTATTCCTATACATAGATGTTTGCAGTATATAAATGTATTTTTAGTCAAATGTATAATACATCTTAGCCACTTGCATGAAAATATAATGCATGCATTTATCTGTCAGTCAGCAATCTGTTCTAATTTTGCTTGAAATGACAAAAAAATCATTTGAGTGGGCAGGCATTTGACCAGCTGATAAATTATAGATCCCACTTAGGTGAAACTCACCCCTCTTGTCACTCTCTTTGCTTTCATTGACGATCCCAAACGCACAGTTTCCCAGCATGCAGCAGGAGCTTTGGCTGAGGGCTCTTCTTGATACCTGTGTGTGCAATGAGATCGGCCGCTGCAAAAACACTCCCGACTGGACCGTCCGAACAAGAGCTCAAAAATGCCTTATCCAACAGCCTCGCAGGACACAACCACGTCTCCAACTCCAGCAGACCAGCACAGTCCAGAGCAAAGATGTCCACAGACACTTTTAATTGTAGTTCTTTGCATCATCCTGGCGATAATCGAGGTGCGTTGTCCTGGTGTTTTTCACAGACGGTGACATGAGAAGTGTGTCTTGTAGAATTTTGCAGAATTAACTTTTGTGTCTATGAAAATGCAGATAAATGTGATATTGCAGAGGGCCCCTGGAACCTGAACAACCCGGTGAAAGCCTCGAGGAGCCATCAGGAGCTTCACAAGGAGCTGTTACTGGCCCACAAAAAGTAAGATCACCATAAAATGCTCCAAATCAGATACTGTCATGGAGACTTTAATAAATCGCTGAGCTTTTTTAAGTGGGTTGTTGAAATATTAATGATGCCTCGTTCTCTCTCTCTCTCTCGCTGGTCTTTTGTGTCAGGCAGGCATGTGTGGACACACAGGCTGCAATAGTACACCCTCTGGTATTATCAGGCCACACTGTGGCAGACATTGTAATGATAGGCCTGCTGACACTACTGAAAAACAATAGTTCGGTCAGTTTGGCAGAGAAATATGGGCTCAAAAATTACAGTTAAATCTCATGATATCTATGAAGCCCCTTAGTCCCCTGGTGATGGGTTAAAAAAAGATAAGAAGGATGTTTTTTATATAAAACTTTTACATTCCACTGTAAACATTGTGTTGGAAATAATACTAGGTTGAAAGAAAAAGTGTATTTCATGCTTTTGTGGGCAAGCAGAAAGTTTCTTAGGGGAATGCAAAAGCATTGAAATGTAATTTATTCCCCCGAGAAAATACTTAATTTGTTCCCTCACAAAACTTTGTGTTGCCAGATTAAACATTATGTTCCCTCGCAAAACTTTTGCATTCTGTTGCAGTCTTTTGCATTCACCCTAGAAACTTCACATTCCCAAAATGCAAAAGTTTTGTGTTTCCCTAAAAAACGTCACATTTCATTGCAAAACTTTTGCATTTTGATACAAAACTTTTACATTCCCCTGAGAAACATTTCCTCTTAAAACATTTGTGATGGAAATAATACAACGTGGGAGGAAAAATTATTTTAATGTTTTTGTGAGGGGAACGCAAAAGATTTGCAAGAGGGGCTCCATACCATACGATGTCATAATACAAAAACACAAGAAAAATTATTTGAGCTTTTCCTCAAACATTTTAATAAAATGTCATTTTTTAATTTTTGGATAGAAGTGTTCGCTAAACGCAAAAAATGCAAATGTAAATTTTACCTAGATACATTATCACCAGTTATTTTGCTGTATATTTGGAAGATTTTCCCCCCTAGTAGGATCAATATTCCTATCAATCTATCTGATTTTAGGCATAGTTATTGGTCCATAGTTGTTTGATAGGAATGTGGTTCCTGGACAAAAAAAAAAGTAAAAAAAAAAGCATTCCTGGACAAAAAAAGCGTAGGCACTGGATTTTCTCCTTAAGGATATTAAGTACAGTTCTTCTATTACTTTGACGTGCAGCGTTGTTGATGTTAACTAAAACAAACTATTAAAAATGTTTTCGTTAATTTAAATAAAGTTGAAATAGAATAAAATATTAATATTAGATGAAAAACTTTAAAATGAAAACTAAAATAAAAAGCTAATTCAAAACTATTACAGCATATAAAAATGCTAGCATAGCACTGGTAAAATGTTACTTTTATATGTGTTGTTTGTGCTTGGGCCCTTTGGGCGGGACACAGGGCTGGTGGTGTGCTGTAAGCCGGAGCTTCAGATGGTTCTGGAGAAGAGGAAGACAGAGCAGACCCAGAGAGAGGAGGGAGAGCAGAGCAGGGGTCCTCTGGAGCAGGTGCTGCTCGAACGCCAGAGCAAACATCAGGAGATGATGGTCAGCAGCCTCCTAAAGTGTGTGTGTGCTGAAAACAACTAATCGAACACAAATGCTGTGAACAACAATTGTGTAATGTGTAGTATTGATTTTTTTTTCACATTGCTCTTGTATGTTCCTTAATTCTTGACCATGTTACCTCTAGTTTTTTTTACTGTGTTATCATAATAAATTAATATGAATGAACTGTGCTTTCACGATCTTTAATGTAATTTTGTTTACCACGTTTCAATACCTGTAATAACTGGTGGAATCTCGTTACCATGGTCAAATTTAAGGTTAAGATTTCATCAGTTGTATTAGCCTTAAGTGTTTTGTGATTTGTCTTGTTGCTTCTCAGAAGGAGAAGGAGGAGGAGCAGAGGCTATGTGAGGAGGTCCAGCTCTTAGAGTTCGTCCGAGTGAGACAGAACCTGAGGAAAGTCCATACAGCTCTACAGAAGAACCTTCACTCCTGAATCTGACCAGCGCTGATCTGACTAAACACATGCTTCATTTGCAAACACAGTACACAGTGTTTCATTATTTGTTATTAAACTTTTTCACAGTCTGTTGCAGTTCACTACATTGCATTGTGTTCTATAATAATTAAATAATGTTAAAAAACACACCCATGGTCATCTTAAAATACCATTAGCTATTATAATAACTACAATTACTGATAGGCCCTAGTACTGTAAAACTATACAAAATCTGCTGAAATCATTCTGTCATTTTGTTTAACTTTTTTGTTGAGAGTGGAGGCCAGTTTTATTGTAAAACCCGAAAGGTCATTAAATAAAAAACACAATTCTACCATGGTACTTGTTCAACTACATGGTTGTCCTATCCATGTTTTTGATTATTATTATTAGTAGTAGTAGTAGTAAAAATAATAACGGGGTAAAGAGCTACTGTGGCGAGTGTTTAATGTGTAATAGCCAAGGTGTTAAAGTATTTCTAATGTCAGTATTGTAAGTTTTGTCCTATTGTAAAAAATCAAACCATATCGAACTATTTATACAACTTAAACAACTTGCTTTAATGTCAGTCTACCTGCATTTGCAGTAAAACGGTTCCATCGTGAAAAGGCGCTCTGTTTGCGCAGAAATCAAACGGTAGCAGTGCTTGCGAAACTAAAGCGTGTTGCGCAAGTGCAGCGCTTACATGAGCCCACTAAACACACCCTCGCCTGTCCTCCTGTGCTGTGATTGGATGAGCAGGGATAGCAGCTGGCGAATGAGCTCAGGAAAGCGGAATAAACAGGAGCAGCTGTCTGGATGTTGGTCATATGATGCGCCGATTTTCACTGTCTGCAAAAACTGAGGAAGAGTCGATTTATAAGCGCTTTTATTTTTCACTGTCACTAAAAAGAAGATCGTTTTAAAAAACAGTCAAGTATAGTAGGCTATAGAAGGGGGGTTTTCTTCGTCTGGAAAAACAGGTAAGTGAATATGAAGTGTTTTGCAAGCAGGGAAATGCCAAGGGACGCAAGTTTTGACATGATTATTGTTTTTCTTGTAAAGTTGGGTTGTTCCACTGGCACGCAATATGCAGAGAGTTTTTACGGGAATATCATAATCAGTTATCACAGATTTAACAACCAGTTCCACAAATGAACTTCTTGTAGAGAGTCAGCAAACCCCTTCAGAGTTGCCTTTACCTCTAAAAGCTTTTAGTTCGTTCAAGCAGATAATGTTAATGAAGCAGAAAGCAAAAGCTTGTGTTTAATAAATAACCTGAACGGCTGACAGTGGTTGCTATTTAAAAAATGCTTTGTATTTGTTTTAGTTTAGTTTTCTGATTGGTTAAGATACTGTCACAGTTTTCATAAATAAAAAGCATATAGAAAACACACTGCTTCACGTACATAAATGCTTATTTAGGAGAGTTTAACAAGACTTAAACTGAATTCATCTTTGCATTGCTGAGTTATTGAGTATGCAAACATTTTAGGTGTATGATACACAGCTGACAGAAGAGATATAAAGTTAACATATGGACAAACACTGATTCACTGACAAAGATCAAGGGTCAGTTTTTAACATCACAGGATCACTACTGCAATACCCATATATTCAAACTTTATTATGTCCTACTATAAAACAGCCATCATGTATGACCCTAAACCGTCACTTTTATTTTAAGGAACAATGACTGCAGCACTGCTGGAACAGTATCAAGAGAGAATCCGGACTGAACTGGACAGAGTCGTGGATTTTTGGCTAAAATATTCCCATGACAAGGAACACGGGTGAAATGATTCACATTTTAATAAATGGCTTTAGCAGAATTTCCTTATAGGCCTAATTCTTTAAATATCTAACTGGATGCTAAATTGTATTCTGTAACCCTGAATGGTTAACAAACATAAATGCTGAAACATTGAAATTGCCCTCAGCACTGAACCCTGAGGGACACCCATCATTCAAAGACATACTTTGCTGAGTTATAAGTGTTTGTTAATTTAACAATTAATTGATTTAACATGTGGATTAAATATAATGCCCCTGTTAAATGTTTTTCATTTTATTGACTTTAGTGGTTTTTTTAACTGCCTTGGAAAAGATGGGAAGGTCTATGATGAGCTGAAATATGTGTGGTTACAAGGGAGACAGGTTAGATATTTTTTTTCTTTCATTTTAGTGTTTATTTTCAAGTTCTTTTTATTCATATATTAATCATAAGCTGACGATTTTTTTTTTTATAAAAGCTGTGTTAAATTGAGTGTCTGATGTCTGACATCCCCTAGGTCTGGATGTACAGCAGGCTGTATCGTACAGTGGAAAGATTTCACAGACCTGAGATTCTTGAGGCTGCTAAATCAGGTTTGGGATTCAGTTTCTCAGTTGCTTTTTCCATCCATCCATTTGAGTAATGACTGCTGAAAATCCAGCTTTGTTATCACAGGAATAAATTATAGTTAAAAATAGAAAAGTTATTTTATATTGTAATAATATTTCACAATATTATTGTTTTGACTGTATTTCTGACCAAATAAGTGCAGCATTGGCGAGCCGAGAGAGATTTATATGCAGAAACTGGATCTGCAGAAATTACGTTCATAAAAATGGCATTTGTTTTTTTTTGATTTAGTACTGCCCTAAAAAATCTAATGCATGAAACACGTTGACATATACAGTAATTCAGAAGTCAAAATAATTGAATTTCCCCAAATGACCCTGTTCAAAAGTTAACATGTATACGTGCATCTTGACTTTCAGGTGCTGCATTTCTGCAAAAGTTTGCTCGAGTTCAGGCCTCCAGCGGCCCGGGGAAATGTGCCTTCTGCCTGACGAGAGATGGGCGAACAGTGAAGTTTCAAAGGACGATATTCAGCGAGTGTTTTTATGTGATGGCCATGGATGAGCTGTCGAGGATTACACAAGACAAAGAGATGCAGGTAAAACTATTAGTCAGCATCTCACCTAGAACTTAAAATGGATTAAATAATAATGACATAACGCATACAGAATTGACTCTGCCAGTTAGGTCATGCTTTATACATGTTTTATTAAAAACTGAGCAGCTTTCAGTGACTTATAGCTTATGCATTTAAATATTTTCTCACCTCCGATGTTGAAATAACTTTATATCTTTAGTTTATTTCATATATCTCATGGTTGATGTCAGGTTTTGTTTTGTCTGTGTTCTCCACAGGCAGATGCTGAGAGCATGATGGACCGGTTGATATTCTGGGTTCAGACTGATTCGTCAGATCTTGGTCGTCCTCAACTTCCTGGTGATCTGCCAATCAACAGCATGGCAGTTCCCATGATGCTCCTGTGCCTGGTAGATCAGCTGACAGAGGGTAGAACTGATGTTGCAGAAAAGTACAAAGACCTGAGCGGATGGTGTGTGGAACGGATACTGCAGCACATACAGGTGAGCCAACATTAAACAAGCTTCAGTGCTGTGACACTAAGCCTAAAATGTGCCTATAATGTATCAATGAAAAAAAAATTCTGAAGAAAATGCCAAATGATACATTATACTAAATTCTTTAATCTCAGAGAGATGGAAAAGCCATTTTGGAAAATGTCACATTGAATGGAAAGGAACTTCCTGGCTGTCAAGGGCGGTTGCAGAACCCTGGTAAAAGAGCATTTCAAAATACAACAGGATCAATGACTTCTTGATTACAATAGGTCTCTAATCAGTTTGTTAGCTTGTTTATCTGCATCTTATAAAGAGGCTTGGAGTAAATCCAACCTCACTGTCACTTTCCTCATAAATTCAGCATCTGTTACTATCAGTGGCGTCTCTCTCTAGGCCACGCTCTGGAGGCTGGCTGGTTCCTGCTGCAGTACGCGCTGAAAAAAGGAGACGTGCAGCTGCAGAAGACAGCAGTGGATAAATTCATGGAGATCCCCTTCCACACCGGATGGGACAAACAACATGGCGGCCTTTTCTACTTCCTGGATGTAGACGGTCATTGTCCGACTCAGGTCAGATTATATCCATAATTCAATGTCAAATTTGAAGTAGGCGAGATCAGGCCAACAGTCGGCCATCACTGAGCGTCTGTTCCACACCATTGGCACTAATCAGACCCCGTCTGTAGCTTTTTGGCTGATTGAACGCGTGTTCAGAGAAAAATCACTCTGATTGGCTGTTCTGCTTTAGTAAACCAGTGCACGAGAAGAAAAAAACTAAGGTGCTGAAAGTGTGCAACAATGAGTTCCAATATGTCAATAATTTCATGACATGGCTGCCTAGAATGGACATAGTGACCCACCATGATTTTTATTCAAAATTGTAACCAGGCGCTGCTTTGTATAAGGTTTATATATCCAGTCCTAGTTTGAGTTCCCTTTTTGAATGATGAATACAGATTACTGCCCCCTGCTGTTATGGAGTTATTTCCTCAGACTAAGTTAAGTTGAAATGCACCTTCTGACTTTTAATATTTTGGTTTTCAGCCAAAGCTTTTTTTGTGGTTCAGCTATTGCGCTTTAATTGTGACATGTTTTAATGTATGTCTTACAGTTAGAGTGGAATATGAAGTTGTGGTGGCCTCACTGTGAAGCTCTGATTGCTTACCTGATGGCTTACAGTCACAGCAGAGAGCCTGTGCTACTGGATCGGTTCAAGCAGATCTACGACTACACCTTCACACATGTAAGAGATGTTTCAGAGACATTTAATTTGGAGTAAGGCTCTTTCAGTATAATCACAAGAAGTTCAGATCCATCATGTACTCTTCTCAAGTTTGCTGATGAGGAACATGGCGAATGGTTTGGATATCTGAGTCGTCAGGGAGAACTTGTGCTGGATTTCAAAGGAGGACCCTTCAAAGGTGAGTAGCTATGAAGAAAATGCTTTCAATCACTGTCAAACGTGGTTCACGCTCACCTGTCGATTTTTGTTGTGATTATTCATATTCAAAATGAATATACCTTTTTTTTTTGCGCAGCAGAGCATCTTTCAGACCCAATTAATAAGCTACACTACCATTCAAAAGTTTGGGGTCAAAGATTTTCATAATATTGTGACTATAACATTTTAAATTGTTTTCTAATATATTTGAATACATTTTAAAATGTTCTCCAACATTTGTCCAGGGTTCTTCCATGTTCCTCGCTGTCTCTACACATGTGAGAAGCTTCTGGACGGTCTTCTTGAAAGGCAGGATTCTTGAACTTGCAGACATTTTGCACTCCCAGATATGACTGGAAAGTGTAACTGACATTTCTCGTAACTGATCAGGTTGCATAAAAATGCAATTATAAAATTTTAATCATACAGTTTTAACTATTCTAATTGGGTCTTTATTACAGTATTACTGTTACGTTTATATTATGGGTTCACATTCATCATTTTATTAATTTTTAAGCCATTCATCCAACATTTAAATGAAAGGGACCACAGTTTTGTTTTTATTCAGCTATGCGAGTTTATAAACATGTTCTTAAACTTGAAATCACTCCTCTGATGATGACTGTGCTGCTCTTTTGAGCGCCTCTTTTGGTCCATCCTCTTTTATAATTTTGCATACATTATAAAACACACAGACTTTCCAAATGTGCTGAATAAATGTTGACATGTCTACTTAAGTTATCTTTGTTTTGGCTTACCTTACTGTGATACTTTTGTCCTTTAGCTGATTCTTTTGTAAATCTCACTATGTGACGGCTGTTTCATGTCGTGCTCGCGGCTAACAGAGGACCTCTGAAACTCAAAAACATACTACTTGAAAATAAACTCAGTTTAAAACTTCAGATAAGCTACGAGTTTATAATAACTGGTTAAAAGTCATGAAACAGATTCCTAAAACAAGTCTAAACTTTTATTTTCTAACAAGAGTGAAAAGAAAAAAAGGCAACATTGAAATGAAAATGTTTATACACAAACTCACGACAATGCGTGTCTGCAATACCAATAATAATAATAATAATAATAGAATAATAATAATAGAATTATTAGAACCCCAGCGACAAAAGATGGAGATAAAGGGAGTTAAAGTGAGATTTTGTACAGTTCTGTGGAGAGGGGGTAGAGAGCAGGTAGCATAAAAGAGACACTGAAAGGAAATGACAATGAAGACAGCAAAACTCAGAGGAAGTGGAAAAGAGAGAAAGGACTATGCAGTTACCTATCTTAGGAAAGTAGCACCAGAACGTAAATGCCTTTGCTTTTCCGTCACTTTCAAAATATTACACTAGTTTATTCACAATGTTGAATCTCCCTGACAAAATGTGAGACCCGGTACAAAAAGAATACGAGTGTCATTGTAGCAACGCCGCTAAACGCCCCTTCTGCCCATCATAGAGTGTGTCTGTGTGTGAATACCTGGACAAGTCGTTTTATGCAGCACACGGCATTTGCGTTAAGAACAGTTTGGTACATCTATATTGTAAAGACAGACAGCTTAACTGCAGGGCAAATCTCATTTTATCCCTCCCCTAAGAGAACAGAGATCTGCAGCCTGTGCCAGTGCACCGTTCAGGATGAGGGGTGAGAACAGAGGCAAAGGGGAAGGAAAACAGGAAAAAGTGCAGTGGTTAGTATGGTGGGGAGCGTCCACTTGATGGGTTGAAAAAAATTATTGTGAGCTTATTATGTGGGGAAATGAGCCTGAGGCCTGCGTTTTTCTGTCTCTGTGGTTCTCCTCTCGTTCACATCGTCCGCCCCTCCACAGCTTCAGGAAATCATCATAAGATCTGCAAGAGAAGAGTAGGGTTGGGTATTGTTTGAATTTTATCAATTCCAATTCTGCTTATCTGCCTTTTCACGACCATAATGTAATTGATAAATCTTCATTTGAAGTGTCAAATTACTTTCAAAAGGTGATTTACTCTATTTTAATCGCAAGTTTATATCTGAACTATAAACTTTTATCCCAGTACTTCTGTGATTTGAATGTTTGTAACAGAAATAATGATGCTGTGTGGTTGAAAAGACTGTGAAGCCGTTTCATTCATGACAGACAGCTGCTCTCTTTAAGTCAGTGGCAGTGCGAACGCAGATTTAAATGTTCAAATCACACTGATGTGATCGTACGCTGCATGTACAAACCAAGTGATCACAACGTTGTGATCACACATGTAAAAGGTTGGGGAATAAAACATTAAAGGGATCATATGATGCGATTTCATTTTTTCCTTTCTCTTTGAAGTATTACAAGCTCTTGGTGCATAACGAAGATCTGTAAAGTTGCAAAGACTAAAGTCTCAAATCCAAAGAAGCAGAGTCCAGCCCGGGATCGTCACATGTGGTTGCTCACTCAAGCTGGCCTCCGCTCACTCTAGCCCGCCGCGTGTTTCGTTGTGAAAGCGAAACTACTTTGTTTGGTCTTCCAAAAGAGGACATGACTATAAATCAGTGGCCTGGAGCTGATCCGTGCTGGTCGCTGAGGAAATACATCAACTTCACAC